CGCCAGCGACCGCTTGGTTGTGCAGACCTGCCAGAAAAAGAAAAGCTGTTTGGTGATCTCAAACGATTTTTTTTTCTTTATGCAGTGGAACAAAATGGAAAATATGTCATAAAACAGGAACTAAAAAAAGATGCAGCCTAGGTCGTCTAAGAAATGGGTGCAACATTGATAAAATTCTTCCTTGAATGAATTCTACAAATGCTTTTGATAAAATGTGTGGTGATTATAAGGAGACCACTTTACTATAAAATTGCTCAGGATTCCCTATCTGGACCTGTCAAAAAATCCTGACTGCACACCAACAACGAGCATTAAATCCGAAACCTCTACCAGGTACCTAGGGATAATTAAATTCTGATTCAGGAAAATATTTCACATCATACAAATAAAAACCTTTACTATATTGAAACTGAAAATGTGATGCCGATCCAGTGACCTAAGGGTCTCAAAGTATAATAATGAATTAATCTATTATAAATTTGGTGGTAACTGCCAACTGGTGTCTGGCAGCCTAAACCTTGAGGCTTGAAAGTGGCCTTCCTTTTCCGTTGACTCCGATCCTCCAGATGGAAATGATATAAAGGATCATTTTTATCTTATTTCAAATGAGCCAGTCAGCAAAGTGGCTATCCTGTTTCAGCATTCACACACACAATAGTTGACTGTCAGTCTGTCATGCTGTCAGTGTTGTGAAGTCAGTGTGACCAAATTGGTTTAGCGTTAGGGGGAGGATGTATAAAAAAGTCGTACGAGGATGTCACTATTAAAAAAAAAACTCGTCTTCAGCCTCATTTTAGGTGCAGTTTTTACAGACAATGTGGGGAAAAAACTATACCTGACGTCAAGTTCTGACTGAAAGTAAAAAAAAAAACAAATATTGTCATTAAATGTGTAAAAAAAACGACATTGCAAGCGCGACAGTACGAGTATGACGGTGCGAATCGTACATTGGAACATTTTCAGTCTTTATTCCTACCCTAGGTAGATATGCTTTCATGACAAAAACGTCGTGATGATGTAATTTTAAAATTTCTGAGGATGTCATTATACTTTTCATTGGGGGTGACTTTCCCCGCAACATCACCAATTTGGCCACACTGTGTGAAGTAACGAAGGAGTTGAGTTTTGTTGATTATAAATTGTGATGTTATGTAAAGGACTGGAAAATGAATGTGAGAACTATGGAAACATATTGGCAGAGTATTGTCACTTACTATCAGGACATATGGATAGAGAATACATTCAAATTAATAAGAAATGCAAAATATCAAGGTACTCAATCACTGATAGCAGTGGACTATCATATGTTTTAATGTCAATTATATGAAAGTTAAGACTGAAACTACCTTTTACTTCATCATACCTAATGAAAAATTGTGTGAAGAAAACATTCACAGCCTCTTTGAAGCACTTAGACCACTAAAAAACAGAAATTTTCACGTAAATATGTTGTGTCTCTTTCCCTCAAAACATCATATCGGATGGCGCCACTTTCGTCGACAGTTACTTATCTGCACGCAAATCGAGGAAAACGTGAATTGATTGACGTTTACGTGTTTCCAAATTTAAAATCACAGCATATTCAAACTTTTCAGTGTACCTTTTAACATCTAAATATAACTAAAACGATAAAAACTTACCTTCAACACAAGGACGACGACAACCACGCGACCGGAGACGTCGCGACGAAATAAACAAACGGCGCCGCCAAATGAAAAATATTCTCCGATATGGGTGATGTGAAATTGAGTCGCAATCATTTTGAGTAGTATGAAAAATGCTCTTTCCAACAGAACCCTAGTAAAAAACGTGAATGGACAAAAAATAACTTTTATTTCGACATAACTATTGGCCTGTTTTTAAGGCATCCTGGTATGCCGTAAGATTTCGACCTAGAAATTGGTGTTCCCCCAATCATTGAAGCTTGAGCAGTGAAAAATATGAAAGCCTAATCTGTTTTGCATCATTAGTGATTCTCCTAGGGTGTTGCCATTTCTCGCTAGGTGTTGCGAGTTGCTTTTGTAAAACGTGTTCCTGAAACGGCTCAATTTTTTGAGCCCTCAGCATTACGCCTATGGGAGCCTCTGACGTCATACGCTCAATATTTTGAGCGCTCAATAATTTGAGCTTTTCCCCCTTGTGCGTGGGACTGAGATACTCAGCCCGCACCTTCAGCAACTTTGGCCCTCCTCTTAGAACACAATCCGCACCCACTGCAACTTCACCCCTTCCCCCCTTACTAACACAACCCGCACCATATGCAGTCTGGAACATTGGCACCAACCCCTTACTAATAATACCTGCACCCACTGCATATGGCTCCTCCCCTTACACAGCCCGCATCCTTTGTAACTTCATATCCCCCCCCCCCTAACACAACCCTCTCCTCTGATACAACCCTGCACCCTCCATCACTCCGCCCCTGCACCCTGCACCACTCCGCCCCCGCACCCACCATCACTCCGCCCCTGCACCCTCCATCCCTCCGCCCCCTCCCCCTCCCCCACCCACCCTTGGAGGTCGAATGCGCCTCCAGAGAGCGCATAAAGAAGCAGACGCTGCAGGCTCCTCTGCATCACGTAATCGCCGGGATTCCCCAGGTTCGGCGGCTCGTGCCAGACGGGGAAATCCCGCCCGCGGCGCGATCTCAAGGTCACCCGTCAAGGTCACCGCACCGCGCAATAAGACAGAACGGCTGTGGCATGGGCGCTCGCTCTCTCTAGAGACGCGAGTACAGGAAGAATGCGCGAGCAAGATAAGCAGCGGTAGTGCACTTTAAATTGTTCTTTCTAGTGTCTGAGAGATGTAAGATGGCCTACATTTTTTGCACAATTTGGTAATTTACTTTCATCGTAGATTGTTTAACGGGAGATTGTTTGTGAATATACGTGACGTACAAAACAAAATTACCCGATTTAACATAAGTATGGACAGACGACCACAAAAACCTAGGTACTTTTTGACAAACGGTGTTTACAATTTTTGCAAACCATTGCTTCTGAATTCATTCTAGCCAAACTGAGAAAAGTCTGTAACATAGGCGATGTGAATGCTGTGAATTTCATCTCATATCAATGAGCATTGCATCGGGTGTTCGTAGACGTTCTAAAAACTTATTTAACACTGACGGTTTAAGCATTTCAAATGCCTTTTACAGACTTCCGTCTATATCAGCCTCCCACGGCCCACCTGTGTAGGAATATTTGAAGTCCATAGAGGACCAAATACCAAGGTAATAGGTACTGAGGCAGATCATGCCGCTATAAGCCGCCCACGCACAACGAGAGCCCCGCGGCTGCCCGAGCCACGCGGTACAGCCGCGATAACACAGAAACTACTTCCACGTGACCTTTACAAATAATGAACCTCCTCAGGCGTCATTCCAACTATGTAGCAGCGAATCCATAGCAACGCAACTGCGTCTTCAGTCCGCTTTGATCCAGATCAAACCGGTTCAGTAGTAATTACACGGGTGGTTCGGGAACTGGTATTACCCGGATAAAAAACCAGAGTACCAGACACACTTCTAACGTCCAGAGACGAGTTTGTTTATGTCCTGGGGATCCCGCCGGGTATCGAGCACAAACAGCCTCGTGAGCAGAAGTCTCGGAGCAGAGGTGCAAACGAAACAGTTATACATACCTACTTGACCACCGGGTGGTCACTGGGTCTGTACATATACATCATGGCCCCTGTCCCCTTATCGCCTATCCCCATATTGTCTATCCCTTTTCACTTTTGCCTATCCTATCCCCTATTGCCTATCACCCTATAGCCGCAATTGGGCCTTTCACGTGGGTCCCTCTCTCAAAAACGGGTCTTTCTAGGTAGACCCATTGGGCTCAAGTGATTTTCCATACTGGCCCCTGGTCTTTCACGTTATAGGACCACTGACTACCACAACGGTCTCTCTTGCAGAACAGGTACAGGTCTCGCGAGATTAAGCGGTAGGTTTTGCACTTTTACATTTCCGGTTATATCTCAGAAACTAATCGATCTACGATGAAGCCATTTTACACGATCATGGCCGGCTTGTTACCCAACAAGTCGATCGCATCTTCAACACTTAAAAGCATAAAACGACGAAGATATAGCCTGAAGTACACTAAATTTTCTAGGTGCAAAACCTACCGCTAAAACCCGCGAGACCTGTACCTAAGCGTTCGACAGACCCACCCACTGCGTGGTCCCCTAATGTGCCGAAATGTCCGCCCCCCACCTGAGTCTGACAGCTGTCACAAAGTGTCGGGCCGCCACACTAAAGGTCAATTACATAAAGCACTGAAATCATTTCATGGGGGCAGTCCGCTAACTGTTCAACATTGCCGGGGAGAGAAACTTGCTTCCACATCGAGTAAAATTGCACACAAGAGGCGACCAGCCGTTTTCAGTGTAAAATCACATGCATCTTACTAAAATGAGTGTGAATCTGTTTCTGATAGAAATGAGTTTGTAACAAAATTTGGAATTCGTTTTCAGGTATGGCATGGAGCTGTTAACCCTACCCTCAGTGGCTTTGGCCCTCCTCATAGTCAGTTGTCGCAAACTGACCTCGACCCAACCCTTGACCTTGACCCTATCCACACTGAGCTTGACCCTACCGATACAGACCTTAAAGTCACCCCATACTGACCTTGCCCCTCCCAAAACTGAACTTGCCCACCCCGACTAGCCTTGACCCAGCTTTGACCTTGTTGTTTGTTTGTTGGGGGCTAGGGGCGCGCCGGCTGCGAGGTCATTTTGCACCCATCAGCTTTGACCTTGACCCCGGCCCCTACTGACCTTGACCCCGGCCCTTCTAACCTTGACCCCGCCCCACACTGACCTTGACCCAGCTTTGACCTTGACCCAGCTTTGACCTTGACCCAGCTTTGACCTTGACCCAGCTTTGACCTTGACCCCGGCCCCTACTGACCTTGACCCCACCCCTACCAACCTTGACCCCGGCCCTACTGACTTTGACCCCACCCCACACTGACCTTGACCCCACCCCTACTAACCTTGACGGTTGGGAAGGAGCGTCGATCTGCCCCGCTCCGCCCGGCCAGCTGACCGTGGGTGCCGCCGAGTTCGGACTCATATCGGAACCGGAACCGCTCCTGGGGCTGCTCGACGATCTTCAGCTGTGGACCACCCATGTGGAGACCTGTGGACAGGAGGTGGATAGAGTTAGATGTGGACACTGGTGGAGAGAGTTTTAGATGTGGACACAAGGTGGGGAGAGTGTTAGACATGATCACTGGGTGTACTAATACTAGATGTGCAATTTGGGCAGAATGTTAGACATAAGCGTAGGAACCATGGGTGCAAGGGTGCAGCTGCACCCACAATATTTATCCAGTGGGTGCAGACAATGTATTCTGCACCCACAATAATCTGAACCAAAAACCCCTTTTTCATCAACATTCAACACTACTTCCCATGCAGCACGGCAAATTCAGGATATGTTGCCTACTATTCATCTTTCGAAGCATTTGCTACTGTGATCAGTGATGGTCTTCAAAACTTACCTACATTTGTGCTGAAAAAAGGGAAATGGAGCATGTGATTGAACACATACCGAACCGATGACCCACTGTCAAAAATTTTAGCCCGATATCTTCGAAAATGGCTAAGTTGGCCGCTTTTACTTTTTGCGGTAGTCAATATTGACAATACTAGCCCTCGAATGTGTGCAGCGTTTTCCAGCTTCTAATGTGTAGGGGGAGGGGGAGGGGGGGGGTCGGTCGGACCCCCTGCCGTTCGACCCCTGATCGAGCTAGAGCTTCGCGGAAAAAAACGAGGGTGTTGCCCGTGACGAGAGGAAGCCGATGATACCCAATTTTAAGGTCCTACTTCATTGGTTGACCTTCCGGGTCAGGTCAATATTCCAAAAGTCGGGAAAATCGGGACCTGCTAGAACTGCGTAAAGTGAAGCCGTTATCGGGTTTTTCGGGGTGATGATCACAAATATCTGATGTTAGTTTTGATCACAGATGATTTCTTCATGCATTTAGGCCAGATCGGGTCAGGTCAGGTCAGGTCAACCATTAGGCGTCCTACCGGCTATCCATAGTAGGTGTCAACTACCACTGACGGCGTCGTAGCATGTCACGAAAGCACTAAAACTACTTCGTAAACGTTCAAATGGATGCTAAATTCGAAATCAGCCCTATAAACTACCCTAGAAACATGTAAAACTCGAAAAAGTGAACCGAGGTCATCCAAGGTCAATGACCTGACCTGACCTTCAGGTTATCTTCACACCCACCGTGATGCATGGGAAGAACATCATTTCACATGTTTGGACGTCTACAATCACAAAAAGACTGGAAACGCGCGGATAATGTGAGCTGACATACGCCAAATCGCGATTCCGGCCGAACATGGTCTCGAGAATCAGGTCACAGATCAAAGGTCTTTTGGGTCAGGGTCATGAAATTTTTAGAGTAGGTGTAAAACTGATCAACTCGAGGGTACTAAAAGTTTCGTCGCGATCGGCCGCTTTTTTTCGCGAGTTATTTGCGAACAACCATGGGGGGGGGGGGTCATCCGACCCCCCTACACATGCGAGGGTCAATGCTTCCAAATGCACTTATCGGTTGGTACCTTTTCGACATGGTACACCCTCAAAGCTCGTAACGAGCCTTCGCTCGGGTGTCGCTCCCTATCCCCCCCCCCCCGCTTCACCGGCCATGGCTGGATTTCTGCACCCATGCACCCACAATGTTCCAGCCGTTCCTACGCCCATGATGTTAGATGTGGCCTGTGGACACAGCGTCGCGTGGACAGAATTTTATATGTGAACTGTTGTCTGTTGGCAGGGAATGGTTGTGTGGTTGCCTAGGTAAAGACCTAAGAACACGGAAATAATTGCCTAGGTCCAGCTACGTCATCCGCTTGTTGGTGTGAAAAGCGTCCTTCAGCAAGGAAGTGCAGCGTGAAACACCACGTAAGGCTGCGTATTTAAAACAAAGGCGCGAGTAGGCAGCCCTGAGGAACCCCTTCACTCCACACTCGTCCAACGCGGCACCCACCCACTCCGCGGACCCCAGCCCGACCGCTGGGGAACACCGGGACATCGGGCACTGTTCGGGCCTCTGGAGACACAGTCGGACCCCCACCCGACCGCTGGGGAACACTGGGACATCGGGCACTGTTCGGGCCTCTGGAGACACCGCCGAAATAATGCAGCCGCAGCGACACTGAATAATGGATGGAGCAGTGAGGTCGGACCACAGAAGGTCACTGGACTGGGGAAGTTAAGGCGACACACTGCAAAACTAACTGGCATCGCCAGCCGACAGAGCGGGCCATTTGGGTAACCAGGGCACGTGAATTTGAATCGGTTTTCAACGATGGACCTAAAATTCTGACGAATATTCTGGCGAACATTTGTTGATGCAATGACAGTGCATTACAAACTGCATTACATTGTAGTTAACTATCCCCGAATCAATGCCTTTCATTTTTTCACCTCCGTCTCTTGTAAAGCCCTACACCAACGCACCCGGTAAATCCCAGCTATGACTCAGAGGTCAGCTGAACGGGTATTTAAATCAGCAGGGTACCCTGCATACCAAACAATGAGCTGCTCAGCCGTGACGACCTGACGACTCAGCGCGAGGCCCGGACCCTCGGAGCCACTCATAAAGTCGCGTTTCGCCGCGGCGCCGGACTTGGGTCATGTGTATCTGGGGTAACTAGTCTAAGAATCATAATCATAATCATAACAATCATAAGAAAGAACGGAGTTGAGCGCATTCATCAATTTGCACGTGTTTGGGTCACTGGAAATGCATGGTTTGCGGAAATGCGGAGAAAATTTGTGTGAAAACCGTGAGAAAAATGTTTTCGGAAGTATTTGAGGCAATATCAAGGCATGTGCATCAACGGCCGTTGCGCTTTACATCCGTTCTTTCCTAGGTCTGTCAGACTATAGGTTGATTTTTCCATTCCAATCAATGAAACCACTAGCTAACTTCAACTTTCCTTTGAAAATATTCCATACCTACTAATACAGAAGCATTCTATGGAAATGTAGGTCCCCTTGGGACCATGGTGTCATATCGATCAAGAGCCCAGGATTCTAAGGTGATTGTCACGGCGATTTTCGTCAACGCTCACTTGTAACACCAATAAATAACGCTCCGACGTCATTGGAAAGTTGAGCGCCGGTCTCTAACTGATGGTAATTAGTACATTAGGGGAGTCCCCAGGATCCCAGAAGCCTGGGAAAGTATCAGCTGCGAGCAGTAGTCTACCTGATTTACAGTGAAAGAAACATTTGTCCATTACTACAAAAAAATAAGCCACATCGAATCACGACGACTCAAAAAACGAGCGACAATGAGCCAGAACGAGTCAAAGTGAGCCAAACCCGTACCAAGCCCACAACAAACCGTGTAGACACATCTGAAAACCGAAGTAGCCAAAAACGTAGGATCCATTAGCCAGGTAGCACTCAATCAGTCTTCAAAGAAAGCATCCTCCCAGACTTCTAAGGGAATTCGCATGCCTAAAGACTAAAAGATGTTTCCAGTTCCGCTGTCTTTGTGTACAGATTGGTCATTCTACCAACGTTTCCCTTGTGACGCCCAATGTAGACTAACAATGGTCTGACGTTTAAGGCTGTACTCCGGCTATATTGGTTATTGGAACCCCCGTCATGTTCGTGAAAACTCTCTGGAACCGGGTTCTGCAAACCGCTGCTCCGGAGCAAAACTCTCTGGATCCGGGTTCTGCAAACCCCGGCTCCGGAGCAGCTTCACAGAACACAAATGGGACGACACACCAACTCGGGCAGCGGGGGGATGGCGCAACGCCATTCACAGTATTTAGGTCAGGCGCCAGTACAATTTGATCGTGATGGTGGCCAACACCGAAAATGCTGTGGCAGCTTCGAATGATAAAAAGTAAATATCGGCATAATGCACTTTTTGTTACTTGTAGAGCTCCTAAAAGTCCAATATATGTGACGAACGAGAAAGGAATATTGCATACAAATGTATATATCCGATACCTATCCGACCTATACCTATCCAATAGCAACTGTAAGTAGATACCACCCACAGACCTTGCACAATACTCCATCACCAAAATTAATCTAAAAAACTTCCACCGAACTTAGTCACACCGTTCAACAAGTTGCTATCATATCAGTCTCCGGCAAACATGCCGGCCCCCTCATCTCCAGCCTGTACCGCAGGTGTGACATCCTCCCCTCTTATCGCTGTCCCGGTGCTGATAGCCCCCTCTCTCTCAGAGCTGATAGTGGTTCGGTCGTGCCCCATAGCCCGGGCCAGAGCCTGGTTTTCCCTCCTGTGACGCCGATTTCGGTTTTAAGCGCAATCACGTGACACACCCCAGTCACGTGACCTAGAGGTGCGCTTTCAATAGACAGAGTGCGCTTATATCGAACCGAGAGTTGTACGCAATTAAAGACAATAAACGTGCTCAGTTTAACCTGCTCTCTTCAATAAAGCGAGATAAATGTTTCATAATGCTTCGGTACCAACGATATTGCCAATCCATCAAACATTGTATAGTCCGTTTTTCTTATCTTTAGACTTCACTCCAAGATGTGCAGATAACTTAGCACGTGACGTCACACAATTTGATAATAAAAATCAAGCGTCACGCTCATTGCCACTGGCTCTAAAAGCGAACACACCATATGTCTGCTGTGTATCAAGGAAATCTGAGACTTTTATATATCTTTTGAAATTTATATCCATTCGTATACAATAATATGCAATGCTCTCAAAACTTCGGCAAGGAAAACCGATCGGTGCACAAGCGAGACAAGTGGTTTATAATGTTTACCAATATTTTATTCGAAAGAAAGATGAATACCTCAAGCAAGGTGATGAGAGTGCAGCGGCTAGCATTAACGTAGCGAAGGAGACCAGCTCTGCTACTGGAGTGTCGATTGCCTCTGTTAATGCATTCAAGAGTGGAATAGAGACACATGGATGCCAGTCTCCAGCCCGCCAGCGCCCTAACAGGGGGCCACGCGAGTACTTCGACGAGTTTGACCAGTGCGCGTTCAGAAGAATGGTGCATGCCATGTACCTGGAAGGGAAAAAGGTCACTTTGGACACCATTAGAGCGGCAGTTCAGGACAAGTTCGAGCAGACTATCTCGCGCTCAACCATACGAAAGCAG